GAAGAAGAAGAAGAAGAAGAAGAAGAAGAAGAAGAAGAAGAAGAAGCAATGACAACAATACGTGCCTCATAATAATGTTGCAGGATCCAAACGGGGCCCATCACTAGGACCAGAGGGTTAGTTTTCTGAATTTTGGACTCACTCTGTAGCCCATCTTCAGGCAACATCTCTTCAGCAGAGTGTGTGGTAGAGAGAAGTTCCCTGAAGATGGTCTCCAGCACGAGTTCAAAATCTCAGAAGACTAAACTTCTGGTGAGGGACCCAGACTGGATCCTGCCAAAAATATGTGATCCTAAAAAGAATGGAGTCTAGAAATTAGGGGTAGGTTAAGTTGGAAAGCCATGAGCAAGGTCAATGTATGGCATGGATAACTTGTTACAAGCCTACCATCAGCGATGATCTCTTGTCTAAAGAAGCCAGCAAAGGTAGATCAATCAATTCTTTGGATATTTATGAAACCGCTTGCTATTTCTTTCAATTTTTGGAAGCTCCATTTATTACTTTCAGATGCATTTCATCCAGTCTGGGCTTAATTCTGGAAGATGGACATCATTCTGATTCACTCTGCCTTCCATTCTGAGTTTTTCATGTGAGAAAAGAGACAGGACTATCGGGTGCTTTTTAAAAAGCACCAGGCATCACTGCTCTCCTAGAAGTTGGATGGAAATTAAAACGAGGGAGCGACTGTTTTGTCATTTTCCTGAATAATAAAAAAACCTCAAGTCTGTACTTGATTCCTGATGACTTCATGAAAATATTCACATAGCTTTCCTGACAGCTATACAGAAGTGGTTTGCCAGTGTGTTTAGGGGTGGGGGGGAATGCATTTTTAACTCCTTTTCCTATTGTAGTTGATAATTTCTTCCTATCAAAATATTTAGCTATCTTGATCCTATTCAGCATCTAACCCAAGTTGGAATAGAGTAGCATTGTCAATTGCATGCTCCAAAGTAGAGAGAGTCCTCAACTTACCCTTTCTTCTTTTCTTTATTTCCATGGTAATCAGGGTGGGATCTGACAGTGACAAGGGAGAGCTGCCTCCATTTTAGATCAGGTAGCTGCTGCTCTGACAGGAACATCAGATTTGGCATGTGATCCAGTGGTGGGATTCAAAACGTTTTACTACTGGTTCTGTGGGCGTGGCTTGGTAGGCATGGCTTGGTGGGTGTGGCAGGGGAAAGATACTGCAAAAACCCTTTTCCCTCCCTGCCCCACTAACCTGCTTTCCAGCTCCGTTCTCCTGTGCAGGGCAACCAAAGAAGACCCAGCTAATCATCTGGGACTCAGGAGGCAGAGAATAGATGGGTGTGTGTGTGTGTGTGGCAGGATCAGTCAGAGGTGGGATTTGCCAGTTCTCTGAACTACTCAAAATTTCCGCTACCGGTTCTCCAGAACTGGTCAAAACCTGCTGAATACCACCTCTGATACTTCTCTGCTCTGGATGATCTGGGTTAGGCCCACAGCCCTCATGGTGGCCATGAAATCCTGAGCCACCTCAAATCCCACTCCTAGACAAGGCAGATTGAAGCCCTCCAAGACCATAAATCTAGGGAATTCCACTGTTAACACAGAAATGGAATTAAAGATATTCAACCAAGGAGGTTTCTGGACACCAGGGTACAACAGCAATAATTCTTAGAGCACAGATCCTTAGAGTGCAATTTAATGAACAGGATCCCACATCTGGTGATTGATGGTAGATTACAGATCAACAGTGTTGGAAGGGACCTTGTAGGTCACCTAGTCCACCCCCCAAGCAGACTCTACACCATTTTTGACAGATGGCAGTCCAAAGTCTCTTTTCAATAGCTTCCAGTGGTGCAGTGCCTTTGAAAATTGTAGGAGACTCCTGGATGGCAATTGCCAAACTCCTCTCCCAGAGTTGCAGCTCATGCCACACCTGAAATAGAGATGGTTATATTTCTGAAAGGATTATCAACACCCAACCTTATCCTTATTACAGCCTCATTTGGCATTTAGAAGCAGCAGTCAAATGCAGGCCCACCGAAAGTCTGCTGACAAGGCCCTGGAATTGAGACTAACGAGCTGGAACATAGAACTGGTTTAAGACATTGTCCAACATTGTCCAATATGGCCCACTCCCTGTTTCCCACCATATCTCCATGCCCAACACCACAATACTATGTTTCCCTATCACCATGGCAGTGAACTGGGATGGGCTTCCAGATATGGGTGGTTGCTGGGGGGGAAAAAATGAGTGAATAGAATTAATTGGATACCAGATTTAACTGATGGTGTGTTTTGGAATCTTTATATGCTGTGCAGTCCTAAAGGTTATATTTCTTGCTATTGTGAATAGCTTGTTGTGAATAGTGGACTGGAGAGTGGAGTGGGGTAAAGCGGAATGGAATGGGATGGAATGGAATGGAATGGAACGGAATGGAACGGAACAGAATGGAACGGAACGGAATGGAATGGAACGGAACAGAACAGAACAGAACAGAACAGAGAATAGAATAGGAATAGAATAATAGAATAGAATAGAATAGAATAGAATAGAATATAATAGAATAGAACAGAACAGAACAGAACAGAACAGAACAGAGCAGAGCAGAGCAGAGCAGAGTAGAGTAGAGTAGAGTAGAGTAGAGTAGAGTAGAGTAGAGTAG